AATTTAAAACATGATTGGATGAGCCATGGTAAATTTTCAGGTCACTTTTGGAACTTCAGTCAAGATGATGACTCTGGGACTGTTTAAAGTACTTTCCTGGGCCACACCCTATTCTACTGCATCCCTCACACTGATGGACCAGGTACTCTGTTCTGAGCTTTTGAGGATTGAGACAGTACAAAGGCTCTACTAGCCCCTGCATCAGACTGTTAGCTAGGAAGATGACCCCAGTGCCTGTCCCTTTATGCAGTAGGCTGTGTCCATTGCTTCTCCACCAGGAGAGATGCCCTGAGCCTGGAAACGGCCATCTCCCTTGTCCTGATCTCTGCTGATTATGAGTCTTGACTTTTATCCTGGCAAATTGAGGCTATCTTTTCTTACTTCGAGTCACTGTGGGCTCAGGAAATACAAACCACAACTTCTGGCCGACTAAGCAAGATATTGACAGCAATGAAAATCTGTTACAGGATGTGCTGTTCTTAATCCTGACTTTGTTAGCACTCCAGATCCTAAAGAGGCATCCAGCACAGATGCTGGCCAGAGAAGACAATCAAATATTTATTGATTTTCCCCCTCCAAATGGAATATTTATATCCCTCCCAATAGTTGCCTCTCCTTGAATCTGAGAGATTACTCGTTTTGCTTCACATGGTCCCTAAGAACAGCAAATGCTGCATCCGGAAAGTGAACCTGAATCTAGAGGGTGGGCTCACACTGCTTCCATCCTGTACCACAAATGGACACCACAGAGCAGGCCAGCCTCTCCTGGAAGTCACAAGCATCCACACCTCTTTCATAGAGGCTCTGAGGAAGATCCCCAAAAGAAGTCTCAAAGTTGAGTACCTAGCACAGCATTAAGTAACCTTCTGGGTTTTATCAGCCCTAAGTCAAATACTAAAGACAAAACCAGTATTTGCAAAACTCTCCTTTGACATTAATGGACAGATAATGGAGATAGGCTAGACCTTCAGTGTGTGTAACTGCCGTTCTAGGAAGGTATCATCTGAAATCTACACACTGATAATAGCTTCTACTGATTGGAACACACTTCACAATCCAGGATATTTTTCTATGGTCCTAACCAACAGTTCACCTAAAAACAAAAAACAAAAAACAAAACAAAAACTAGCAAAAGCTGGGTGTTCTAGGTGAATATTTGGGGCTTATTACTTTGCTTTTGCTTTTCTTTATAGTTCATTTCCTCGGGCCAAGTAATTTTTTCTTAAAATATTCAGACACATGAGCGACTGAGATACATTCTGGAATACCCATTCTGAGAAAAGTCCTCTCTATATGCTCATTCTCAAAGCCCAGAATATGCAAACAAAGATGCAGTGGGCAGAAGGCCAGTTAATAAATCTCATTTCCGACCGGCATCTGTGTAGAACAGAGCTGTAGGGAGTAGCCTCTCCAGGGAGGTCCAGGCCACGACTCATTCGCTCTTTGAATTAAAGAGTGTCACCTCGGATGGCCCTCACCACATTTGTTTTTTAAGCAGCTCTTAAAATATATGGATTCCTAACTGCAGTGGGGGAAGCTGGGGCTGAGACACTGTCTCGTGCAGTGAGTGTAGAAATGTGTACAAACGGTTTTTACTGGGTCATTTTGATACTTGATTGCTTCAAGTGCAATTTCCAACACAGAGGGTTTTTTCAGGGAAGCTTGCTGTTCTAATTAAAGTGCACAGGGCTTTTGATAATGATTTGTTACCTATTTGACTTCAGAAAAAGTGAACCCTGCTGTAAAAGCGGACCGTGTTTATATGCATTGATGTTTGACTTAGGATGTCTGGGCCAGGACCACATCTCAGTTTTAGTGTGAACAACCTGGTTGGTACTCAGCCCAGGGGATGGCTAGCAGGTAAAGGTGCTAGCCTCCAAACCCAGTGACCTGAGTTTGATTCCCAGAAGCCACATGGTGGAAGGAGAGAACACATTCCAGCAAGTGTCACCTGTGGTATGTGCACCCACCTACCCTAAATAAATAACAGCATTAACTAAAAGGAAACAGAGTGACTGCTTGCACATTAGTAGTCCTTGAGGAATGCCATTGTCCTTTTTAGGTGTTCCTGCCTTCTCTTGACTGAAATGCCAGCAAGGTGAGGAATACTCCAGTCTAAGCTCCTGAAAATGTCCCTCTTTAGTAACAAAGCATTCTTCCTGTTTACATACCTGCATGTATGGTCAGCTGGGGATGGAACCCAGTGCCTTAGGCATTAACCTCACATCTCTTTAAGAGTAAAATTACAGGGACTAAGGAGATGGCTCAGAAGAGCACTGGCTGCTCTCACAGAGGACCTGGGTTCATTTCCTCAAACTTACATGGCAGCTCATAACTGTTTATAACTCCAGGAATATGATGCCTTCATCTAGCCTTGGAGGATACTATAGAACATGATGCATAGAGATATCACAAGCAAAATAGACATAAAATGAAAAACCAAAATTACAAAGACTAGGACTATATATCCTTCAATGTAAGAAGCAATGTCAGGAAATAGAGGCTGAGATAAAGGCTGCTAGAGTCTACCTAGGAATCAGTGAAACAGCCAGGAACAGAACTGCTTCTGGTGTTGCCAGGGCCCTAAGTACCTTCCGGCTCCCTCAGTGACTGCACAGAAAACTTCCAGGCATATCTCACAGTTGAAAGCTACCTCTAGCCTACAGCCAAGGTCAAACTTCCACTTGGTTAAATCTCTATTGTGGCTTTCAAATTGCCTTCCAAGTTTCCTCAGCAATCAGATGGCTACATTATTCCAGTCTGAGGATGCCAAAATAAGGATGGAATGCTTCCTGGATAGAAAAATGTGTCACATTTTTTCCCTTCTCTTAGGTCTCTCCAAAAAAGAAAAAAGAAAAGAAAAGAAAAGAAAAGAAAAGAAAAGAAAAGAAAAGGAAAATGCAGTAGTTATATTGTATTGCTCATTCACTTTGAAAGAAAGCAGACCAAGGGGACCATCCAGTGTGTCTGTTTCCAAGTGTGTCTTGCACATCAGACAGCATAAAGGAAACCATGAAGGCAGCTTTCTTCACTGAACCAATGGCCTCTCTCACTACAGCACCCAGAAATCCTATTCTATAAAATACAAACACAATGATGCTTCCAATGAAGCCACTTGTGTAGTCAGATCTCTACCCAAATTCAGGTTTTTCTTTTTTTAAATTTCATATCCTTTAAGGCTCCACCATACGATATCAAAAAAGCAAAGCATAAATTACTTAATAACTGGAGGAATAACACAAATACAATTTCATTTTAAAGCAATACTCGCCCCCCCATACACAAAAGGGGCCCCTTTGACCTTTCTGTCAAACAGGTTTTCATTACCACTTTGAGTTGGTTCACATGAGTAATAAAACCAAACTAGGCAACTTCCTCTGGCCCACGTGGTAAAATGTGTACTCCATCCTAGGAGCAGCAGCTACTGACATAGCAGGGATTAAATCACTTAGGAAATAAGGGCTTCAAATTTACTGCCTACAAGAACAGTTCAAATAAGCGAGCTTTCAAAGTGACTTGATTTTGTTCATTTTTACATTCTCATTTAGGCTCACCCAGAGGAGAAGGGTGAAAAAGAGATGGACTTTCAAACAGCAGAATCCCCAAAAGGCAAGCCTCAGAAGCTGGGGATCAACTATGGCTTGCCTGAAATCTGTAAGGCTGCCGTGCCAATTCTATTCATTGGAACCATAAGATTCGAGACTTGGTGATCTCACGGGTACAGCCAAAATTAATTTCAAGTATTTATGTAACTGTCAGAGATGTAACAGGGCAAGGGTTGCTTTCAACCCCCCTCCTTTTGAGTCAACAGTCTCGGCTCAGAAAGGAAGGAAGTGGGGTGCTTTGGAGTCTACTTTAGATGTGCACATAGAATCCGAACACAGAACATTCTGCCCACAATACAATTTGAGAATTCAGATGGCAGCTTACTTTTAAAAAAGAGTTATTTCCTGTTGCTCACTGTCTGGGAGGGTGCCTCTTACAGGTATGTGTGCTCTACTTTAAAGCAAAAGCATCTTTGGTGGTTATGAAGGTTACGTTTAAAAATAACCACCTCAGTACAAAAGAACTTCGGAGGAAATACAACCTAAGCTATCCATATCCCTGTACGTCTGGCCTTGAGCTGCCTAAGATCCAAGCTACGTTCTGCATCACATTGTTATCCTTATCAAACAATGCAAACAATTTTAATGAGCTTATCTATGGGAACATATTGCCAGATATGTTAATGCAAAAATGATGCTAACCACACAGGCAACTCATTAATCAAAAGGCTCACAATACAATGACCGACAGCATTCCCATCCTCAAATTAGACCTCAGCAAAATACAAGGAATCACCTTTCTATTGTAAATAAGAAGGATGGGCTCCTCCACCCATGCAGAGGCCATAAAACTCTTCAGAAAATGCGTAGCCGCGCCGGGTTTTGGTGGGTTTTTTGTTGTTGTTTTCTGGGTTTTTTTTTTAACCCCCAGGTCTGAAACAGTCCAGCCTCTTTCTAATCACCCTAGGCTTTCATGGAGAGATTTTGGTGAATGTCTGACACTGTGACCTCTGCTGTCAATCCTTGCACCAATCAGCGTGCAGAATTCTTACAAAGCTCCATCAATCTGGCGGTTTAACATCACACACTGCAGCTTCATCTAGAGGATTCCATCTTTTCCTGCATGCTCTCCAGGTTAAGCGCAAGCGCGCTCCTCACCATCCTCCCTTTTTCGCCATTCTCCCGTTTGTTTGCTCCTTTAGTGCCCGCCACCTAATGGTTCCTTTAAATGCTAAAAAGGAAGGAGGAGAGGAAGTGCAGAGCTTATGTCCCTTTGGGGATGCGGAAAGATGGCATGCGGGGAAGAGATGGAGAGAGACCTCTTCCAGGCAACAAACCTATTCACCCGCGGAAGCCTCTAGGCTCACCCCACCGACACAGGACCCTGCAACCAAGCAATCCTGGCCTCCGCGTTACGTAACGGGACGGACCGTCTACAGCCACCCGTGCCAGTACCTGTAGGACCGCTCCCCGCGCACAGTGTGCTTCAGGAAAGGAATGATGGCCCCGTTATCCTGGATGATGTCGTTGTTGTTCTCGCCATTTGGGGACAAGGTTTGGGTCGGCCCGGGCATTGGCGCTCTCCCGACAGAGGGAACACACGCGGAGGCTGGCTGGGGCGGAGGGCTGTGTTTCCCCGCTGCTCGCTGCTCACTCTGCAGCCGCGCT